AGATAGGCTGGAGTCTTGGGCGGAGAAATGGCAGGAATTTAATCCAGACAAATGCGAGGCAATGCATTTTGGAAGGTCTAACACAGGAGGGAAATGTACAATAAATGTCAGAACCTGTAGAAATATTAACATACAGAGGGACCTACGTGTACAGGTCTGCAGTTCCCTCCCTGAAAGTGGCAACACAAGTGGATAAGGAGGTCAAAAAGGCATATGGCATGCTTGCCTTCATTAGTCAGGGCAAGTATAAAAATTCGCAAATTATGTTGCAGCTAAATAGAATTTTATTTGGGCCACATTTGGAATATTGCATACAGTTCTGGCCCCCACACTACCAAAAGGATGTGGAGGCTTTGGAGAGGGTACAGAAAAGGTTTACCAGGATGTTGCCCAGTTTGGATGGTATTAGTTATGAGTAAAGATCAGATAAACTTGTATCAGAGATAGTAGGAACTGCAGATGCTGGAGAATCTGAGATAACAAGGTGTAGAGCTGGATGAACACAGCAGGCCAAGCAGCATCAGAGGAGCAGGAAGGCTGCCGTTTCGGGCCTAGACCTTGTTATCTCGCCTAAATTAAAAGTCTATTCTCGTCTCAAGGAACAAGTCTGCAACGGGAAGTTGGCCGGGGGTGGGTTGGTACGCCTCAATAGCAAGTGAGTTCGCGGACGCAATCGTTAATATCCTCCAAGTAAATGAGCTTCGAATTAAAACCGAGCTAGCAATAATCGTACTGGACACAGTCGTGAACTTGTCTCGTAAACACTTCTTCGCGGTCCATTCTATTGCCCCTTCAGCTGGGTGCATGTTGCCCTCACGGTCTGCGAGGAAATGCTATGCGATTGACCATCAGGAAACTTACAAAGCACTTCTTCCCCCTCATCTCCCTTGCATCAGCTTTAAATCTTGTTCAATTTTTATTTTGCAAACAAACAGCAAACTGCAATCGATTTGACGTGTCCTACGTGCTTTTGCCAACATCTGGGCACCGAAATGAAAACGCTCCAATTGTACAGGCAGGAACTTTTTTGTAAAAAAAATGACTGGTGATAAATAACCAGCAGCACAGCACAGTAGTGAGGTAGAATTGACAACAGCACCCCCTGTAGGAGATAGCGCTGCGGGACGACAGGTGGGAAGATTGCCCCGGCTGTTTTGCGTAAGCCAAGGGATGCCCGAGTGTGTATAAAACATGTTTAGATGAGGGGTGCATATCATTAACAGATGCGACATGTCGGCTGTAGAGAGTGAATGCATCAGCGATTGATCGTGTTGTAACTTCCCCCCCGTGGGGGCTCAATGTCTTTCTTTGGAATTGCAATTACAAAAAAAACCTACACCACGCACCGTCCCTTTTGCCCGAAACTAATGAAAGTGGGGACACAGTTGCGCAATTCGACTATGGAGGGCATCCCAGAAAGGCTCGCATGTATTTAAACCCCCATTAGGCGAATGTGGAAGAGGGGGGAAGGGAGTGTATATACCATGAAGTTATCGTCGAAGGAAATGGGGAAGGGTTTAAAAGGCTGGGATTTGGAGTGTTGGCATTAAGGGGAAGTGTTGGCATCGGGAGGCAATGGCCTGTTAATACTGAGACCCAACTAATGTTCTGGGGACCAGGGTTGGAAGCGTGCAGGTGGTAGAATTTGAATTCAATAAAAATCTTGAACTAAGTGTCTGTTGTTGGAAGAACCATCTGTCGGCTGTAAAACAAATGTGTTTTAAATGTGACTCCAAACCCTCAGCAATGTGGTTGACTCTCAATTGCCCTCTTGGCAATTAGGGATGGGCGATAATTGCCTGCCTAGCCAGAGACTCTGAATTTTTTTTTGAGGCGGTGACTCAGTGGTTAGCACTGCTACCTCACAGTGCCGGGGACGCAGGTTCGATTCCAGCTTCCAGACGACTGCCTGTGTGGCGTTTCCTCCCACAGATTAGGTGGATCGGCCATGCTCAAAATTGTCCATAATATCAAGGGCTATGCATACTGGGTGGATGACTCATGGGAAATACAGGGTTGTAGTGAGGGTCTGTGTGGGGTCCTCTTCAGAGGGGTGGTACGAACTCGATGGGCTAAATGGCCTGCTGAATGCAGCCAACTGTACCTACCTGTGTCTGTCCCTTCATCTACGCGGCCCGTACGACAACATAGGAAGATGAACAGGAGATAGTAATAACTGCGAATACTGGTCTGAGGTAACACAGTGTGGAGCTGGAGGAACCCAGCAGGCCAGGCAGCGTTAGAGGAGCAGGAAAGCTGACATTTCTTCAGATGAGAGATAGTAGGAACTGCAGATGCTGGAGAATCTGAGATAACAAGGTGCAGAGCTGGATGAACACAGCAGGCCAAGCAGCATCAGAGGAGCAGAAGGGTCCAGACTCGAAACGTCAGCCTTCCTGCTCCTCTGATACTACTTGGCCTGCTGTGTTCATCCAGCTCTACACCTTGTTATCTCGTTTCTTCAGATGAACGAGTTTTGTTTTTAGTTCACCCGTGCGATGTGGCTGCCCAGCATTTGTTGCCCATCCCTAGCTGCCCTTGAACTGTTTGGATGTGGAGGTGAGGTCGCCGCTTCTCGGCTTGAGTTGCGATTTAATTGCACGCTCCATTTTTGAGGGTGTTGCTCGACTCAGACTCTTGCAAATGCAGTGAGTGGGTTCAGCTGAGTGAATCCGCCTCTCCGAGTGCTGTATGAGGAACACGGAAGTCCAACAGCAATGCTGTGCGGCTAGGTGAACGCCGTTTAACTTCAGCAATCCCTTAAACATCGAGCTCCCGATCTCAGAGATCAGACATGGACAACAGACAATGTCGGGCGTGTTGGAGGGGGCGATCTCCTGGAACCAGGTTCCCCAACCCATCCCGGCCAAATCGCTTCATCATTGACAAGGAGACCCATTAAGGTTCCTTAATCAAAAACAGGAATTGCTGGGAAAATCTCTACCTGCATCTGAGGAGAGAGAAGGCAGAGTCAATGTTTCGAGTCCAGTTCTTCAGAACTGGGTTCCTTAATCCCGCGAAGAGTTTAGATTTAAAGCTGAGTTTGAACAAGTCCCAGAGATAGAGAAGAATTCTTTCAAGGGAGCCTAGATATTAAATGAGATGCGGTTTGGAGAGAGGAAGAGAAGGCTATAATCCCACAAGAATTATTCTTTATTGAAAACCTCCAGACTAATAAACCAAGTCTATTGGTTTGTAATGAAAGAGGAGGTCAGTATAATATGGAACAGATGGGCCCAATGGCTTTTTTTTTCCCGTGCTGTACATTATATCTAATTCGATAGGGTGAAAGATCATTGTTATTTAAATATTGACTAATGCATAGTCTATTTGCAACAAAGTAACACTGGGACTCCGTTGACACAATTTAATACACATACACGCACAGTAGCTGTGTAGTTAACACAGGTTATCACCTAACCAGGTGGATCCAGTATTCGCTGACCTATTCTACATGAAAAGGAAGGTTTGAATTTCTGATCGCAGGTCAATGAGACCACTCCACCCAGTGGATACTGTAACAGATTAGTACAGAATTTAACAATTCAATCAGACCCTGCCTAAGAAAGGTATAGGCCCAGTGGACCATAGGGCTGCTATCTCATTGCAGGGAGACGATTGGTGGTGAGTTTAATCTGAGGGTCACCACACCCCATGGGAGGGGGCGGCGAGACTGAGAATGAGAGTCCTTCATGGTAACCTCCAGTAGTCTCTTCCTGGATCTGCTGTCTCACTGACTCCCTTCTCTGCCTGGAGCTCTCTCCCATCCCTCCCCAGTCCTCACTCCTCACTCGCAGGGCAGTGTTTGTTCTTGGTTGGTGACACCCTTCTTTAGAAATCACACGGGAGGCCATTCGGCCCACCTAGAACATGCTGTTTGAAAGGCCGATCCAATTCGTCTCATTATCTGACCTCAGCACCCCCATACACCACTACCTCTCCACCCTCCCCACTCCCATCCCTCAAGTATTTCTGCAGTTCCTTTTTCTGGCGGTCAGTGCTCGGACTGGCGTCTTGGAGGCGGTAGTGGGCACAGAGTGCCAGGATGACCCCTGGTACTGAATGCCCGCAATGATGGTAAAATGGTCGGCATGAGGGAGAGGTAGGGGGAAGGGGGAAGGTGTTGGGGGTGTTGCAAGGTGCCAGAACACAGCTGGACCCCGTGAAAACAGAAAGGCAGGAGGTGGCCGCGGTAGCGGGGGCATTTCGAAATTCCAACCACCAGCAAATGCAAACGGGGAGGCGAAGTGAACATCAGCACTTGCAGTGGAAAATACAAATTTTTTGCAAAACTTTCAGATGGGGTTGTGAGGTGTTGGTGGGGGGGAGGGGTTCGCTACCAGATCGGAGGAAGCTTTTGAAGGGTTAATCCTGACATTTGCTGATCATTGCAGGTCACAGGGACTTGAGAAGAGTCGGGGACTGGGGAAGAGATGTGGAAGGAGGTTGGGAAACTCTGTGGCTTTAAGCACTGGCTTGGCCCCAGAGACGCCAGGCGGCAGAAGTGGGGAAGGTGAAAACTGGAGAGAGAGAGAGAGTAAGAGAGGGAGGGAGGCGCAGGGGTGAGGGGAAATGAAAGCTGGATGGAGGAGTACCAATATTTCATACTCTTCCCTCTTACAAAGTGGGTCGGAACAAACAAAAGGACAATGATTTACTATCTCCGACCCGGCGGATTTAAAACCTTCCAGAGTTGGGACCAGCGGAGCTGTACTGAGAAACCTTGATACCAGGCTACAAGATCTCCTTTCCCTTCTGCTTTCGAAACAACACAGTAAAAACTGGGGATTTAAATAAGAATTCTATCATTTCTCTCTCTCACTCTCTCTTTCCATCTCCCCTCAAACCAAACATTGATTGGACCTTTCTTTCGTTTCGTCTCGAATCGGAAAAGGAATGATCCCAAAGAAAGATTCCAGCAAAACGCCGCGGATTATATTTTTTCTCGAAGATTGGACAACTGATTTTTGAATCGATTTCTTTTTTTTTGCGAGGCCGGGAGGGTGCTGAGGGGGAATTAAAAAAAGGCTCACACGCAATGTTGCTGATGGGAATTTATTTAATCTTGACACTTATTGGTAAGTACTCCTGTTATCTTTAATCGCGGCGGTGTAGCGGAATAAACAGCGCACCCGTGTTTATAACGCTTTTATACACATGGCTGGACACTTCCTTTTTTTGGAATCTACAAAGTGCCTTCTGTCAGATCTGCTTGCGACAGGACAGCGAATTAAATGTCCTTCCCATTTTATTTCAGTTGTTTCAACTGTCTCAATGTTTTAGTCTCTTTATTGAAAGAAATAATCGGTAGCTTTTGCGGGGATTTTCAATTTAAGTCCAAGGACAGGAGATTTCTTAATTAAAAACTGCTGGAAATCAGAAACAAAAACAGAAATTTGCTGGGGAAAACTCAGCAGCATCTGTGAAAAGAAATCAGAATTAACGTTTCGGGTCCTTCCTCAGATTTTTTTTTATTCTGAAAAGATAATTGCTTAGAAAGCTGCATTCGGATACCGCCGCAATCAGATCGGTCCCTTGTGCTGAGAGAGAAAAAAAACTTTGCTGAGGTGAGAGAGGAGTTAACGTTTCCAGTCTTCCTCACCAGAACTGAATGAGGGGGTTACTGGATTCGAAACGTTCACTACGCTTTCCTCACCACCGATGCTGCCAAACCTATTGTGTTTTCGCCAGCAATTTCTGATACTTGTTTCAGATCTCCGTAGTTCTTTGGTTTGTTTGCCTGAAGTGCACCCGGGAGCCAGGGCGGCGAGAGAGGATTGGAGAAAAATGTCTATTTCAACAAGGCAGAATTATTCCCAGGACGTAGAACTCTGGGGCAAGCTCTCTGCTGGTTGCAATTGGCTTGTTGTAAACCAACTTTCTTTAAAAAAAAAATGTGTATTTATGTGTAAGTTAAGGTGTGAGGATGTTTGTGCGTATGTTTAGATGCTTATGAGAGCATGTACATGTGAATGAGTATGTGTGCATGCAGAGTGTGGCTATGTAGGTATCTATGTAAATACGTGCAAACGTGCGCTTGAGTGTGATTTTGTGTATGAGAAGGTTAAAGTACCTGTGTGAAGTTGCGTAGTATATGCATGTGTTTATGTGTTTGTGAATGTGTGTGTGAATACAAGTATATATTAACGTGTGCGAATACAAGTATGTGAATGTGTGGGTGTATATAAGTGTGTGCCAATGTGCGTGTGTAAGTACATGTGTGCAAATGTGTGTGTGAATACAAGTGTTTGTCAATGTGTATGTGAATGTATATTTGTGTGTGTGTGTGAAAATGTTTACGTGTGTGAGAATGCAACCGTGTGTGTGCATGAATATAAGTGTATTTGAACGTTTGTGTGCTTACTCATGTATATGGCTATGTATAAAATGCATCATCAAAAAAAAATCCACCCCCAAGCTGAGGCGTTAGCCTACATTTTAGACTCTATCCCAAGTTTTTTCCTTTGTGGATTTATTTAGTCTGTATCTCTATAACTGTATCTAAATTAAGACATCATAAATCCTTTATTAATGCTCATAGACGTTACAGGATACCGGATTGTTTGGCAGTCAAGCATTTATTGCAGTTGTGGGGAATGGGGTGGGATCTATAAAATGCATTTAGTGCTGATATTCTAACATTTTGCATAAACTCAATTTGGTATCAAATGGGAGCGCGATGCACCGTGAAGGAAGCACAGCTGGATGTTTGGTGCTGAAGGGGTTAAAACAAAGTGCTGGTTACATCTATTTCCCTTGTTCTCCCCTCTGTCCCTCTCTCAGTCCCTGATTCAAATTGGCAGTGTGTCAGCTATTTGTTTTAAAGCACAGCAGATCTCAATACTCGAACTGGAAGATGGAATAACATGCACTAACTTCTCCAGAAAAGTACATTTTATTTCTATATTGTAAAGCACTGAGAGAGAATGCTGGAAGCACACAGTGAGGTCAGTCAGAACAGATAAAGAGGAAAAAAATCTTTAAAGTTTTACACATTGCCCCTGCCTCAGGACCCCTGACTTCTAGACAAAAAGGTTCTGTCTGAATTACTAAAATCTGTTCGAGCTCCCCACAGAATCTCATTGATTTTTTATGTGTGCGTGTTTCCAGCATTACAAGCTTTCTGTGCATATTTCTGGCAGTCTTTCATGTATTATGGATAGATTCATGGAATCACATAATGCAGAAGGAGGCCACCCAGTCTTTGTCCATCTGTTATCCTACAGAGCCATCTTCAAGTTCCCTTTTGGAAGTTCACAATTCCACCTAACCCTTCAGTAGTACATTCCAGACCATGACAACTCACTGCTTAATAAAAATTCTCTCATCTTACCTCTGATTCCTTTACAAAGCCCTTTTCTAAATAAAGCAAGTCATTAAGGGGAGCCTGGAAAGGCATTCCATTCAGAATCATATTTACTAAATTGCTTGTTTTAACTTGTAGAACATAATTTCAGGTCTGAAGCAGGTATAATGGGAATGATGCTAAACTAGTCTCACTCAGCAGAAATGCAATTTTCAACAATTGTGTTTTTAAAGGTTAATGGTAACATTGAACATAAGTGCACTCACTATTGAAGTTGTTGCTATTGTTTAAGACTGCTTGGTAAACTGACTGTATGCCCAGTGCTGTAACTTGGCTGATCAGTGCAAGCAGTTGTGGAGTGGTAGGTGCTCATAAACTGAGAAGTTTGGATTGCATTAAGAACATTGTCTCTATTGGAAAACAAAACTGGCCAAGCTTTCATTCTCCGCTGCTAAATTCAGAAATGCAGTGACTGTGGTTCACCCTGAGATGTGTCACCAGAAGTGTTGTTTTGTACTCATGAGTGATAGCATGATGGCAGAATATTCATTTTCAGCAATAAATATGGTCCACCTTTTAATTCTTGGGTTTTACTTTTAATCTTTGTCAGTCATTAATACCCTAAAGCAATGATGGAGTGCCCATTCCCATTAGGATTTTTACTGATGGTTCCGTCAGTCTTGAGAAGAAGTGGGGGATAGAAGGAGAGCGCAGGTTAGTGGAATCACTTTGTAAGGGCTGGTAGTGAGTAACAGAATGGTAATTTATTCCTTCTTATGTTTCTACGTAATGTAAACGACCAGGAAGTCTGTTTGTAAAATATACTTGAATAGAAGTCAAGTGAGTGTTTTAAAAGCTATACCCATTAGTGCATTGGAAATTCACTGAAAATATTTTGGACTGAACAGCCCTAGAGTGCAGTTACACCATCAATTTTGTGTTTTTCAACAACACAATATATGGCTTCTCAGTACATGACTATGGCGCACACTGTACTTGTACAGAATTTCCCACTGTACTCTTCTCCCTGTATTCATGTCGGTTCTCGTATTTAGCAGAAGCACGAAGAAGTAGTTAGAATTCTGATTACCCACGGCATAAAGGATCATGGGGATAGAGTGGGTAAAAAAAAACACTGAAATGTTTGATTAGCAATGATCATAATAAATGCTGGAGCAGACTCGACATGCTGAACAGCCTACTCCTGTTCCTGTGTTCCTACTTCATGGTGATGAGGGGTTATTTTTGCGGGGTGGGGGAACAGAAATAGTAGGATAATCTAAAAAAATGTGGAAGATATTCAGCAGGCTCAGCAGCATCTATGGAGATGAAGACGGAGTTAAATATTTCAGGTCAACACACAGTCTTCAGAACATGAGGATATTGGATACGACCAGCTGACAAACAAAAACAAAACCAGGGAGAATAGAGCAGTTGGGGACTGGGAAAGTGATAGGGGAAGGATTATACAACAACGAGAATAAGATTGTAACGCATTAGTGATTAGTGCAAGTCAAAGTAAAAGATAGACTCAGAAAAGTGCAAACGGTTCAGCAGAATAGCAGCATAAGAACATAATTACCCGAAAATTCGCTAGAACACGCACATGTTCTGTTTCCAACTGCGTCTGTTGTTAAGATACCAACCACCCTCGACCTTCCCCTTCCCCAGCGTAACTCCGGCGGTCTCAAGTGAGTGGAACCCAAAGCGCTGAACGCAAGGCACTCGTCTGAAAGTAATACCCTCACACCTTGAGTTTGAATGGAGATGATCCCATATGTATAGAACTTGCAAACTGAACACTAGGAGTCCCCCCGTCATGCAGTAACCACATTGCAGTAATCTCTAAGGTCAAATTGTTGTTACTTAGGGGATCTGTAAATAAAAGTAAATGTTTATTATCACACCAATTGTAATGTTTATTAAGGCGTATACATTGTGTTAAGACTCATGAGCAAAAACACTATGCCGCATCCTATCACTGTTAAACTATAAATCTTTAGGAGGCTAAAGTAAAACCAACAGAAACTTTGAAACTGAAATCTATGGGTAACACCACAAACTCTCACCAAGCCCACTGTTCATTTAGAGCTAAGTCTGTTGGTATATTAGCCACACTGTGCTACCATCATTTCTTTTGCCACATCCAAAGCAATGTGTTTCCTCTATCAACTTGTTTGTCAAATATTACTCCAGGATCTTGCGCACACTAACCCACTGTTGCTCCTGTGCTGAGATCACCCGAAGTCTTGGTGCATTCAAATATGCCACTTTTCAACAGCAGGCATGTTTGATGGAAATTTAATGGACAACCTCCTACTTCTACCTTTTGATCTTTCTAATGACTTTGCAGACAGTTAGACTCAAACTTGCCTTCAGCAGTACTTCTCAATATACTTCATTCATCTCTGCTTGGTAGGGTCTGTTCCTTGGCCTTTAGTGTTTCATGATTTCCCTCCTCTATATGAAGAAAGTTTTCTATATCAGAGATTCTCCTCCTCTTAACAGACCTTGAAATATATTTCTTTTCCCAGTGTTTGAAGTTTAAAAAAAAATCTTTACTCAGCCAACGTCGGTCTATTGTGGCACTTTATAGTTATACACAGATGTTAAACCTTAGAGTCTTTGGTCAGCATCACCCATTGATTGAAAAAAAATCACTTACTTAAAAAAATAACTGACTGTCAACTTTTGATGCACCGTCAACCACAATAGAAGCTAAAGAAACAAAGCATTTCGCATTACAAATCATATACATCACAGAAAGAGGCT